AATTAAATAATAATAATAATAATTGTTAAGATATTTTGATTTAAGATTTTAAAAAAACTTATTAAAAACAATTTGTTTGGTTTCTCTTAGCAGCCTCTTTATATACAGTCACACTTCCTAAGTATATACTCCTCAGGATCATAGTGAAAAAAAATGCAAAATATATACTTAGAGGAGGTGTACATTTAGAGAGATTAAATTTTATAATTGTTATAAGTTGGGACCAAGCAGAGGCATGTATATTAGAAAAGTTTTTTATATACTATACACTTAGAAAATGTGTATTTAGAGGAGTCCAACTGTATTCAGTATTGCCCTAGTAAAATATATTAATCAAATAGAATATTAGAAACTGTAAAATGATTTGTATTTTAAAAAGAATAATGACAACAGTTAATTTTAATTTTAAAATAAAGGCATATTATAAAAAAAAGTACACCAAATAAAATAAATTAGCCAAGGTTGTCACTTTGAATTAGAAATATTTATTAATAAATTATCATTGTAAATTAAAGAGTAAAAAAAGTATTTAAGAAATAAAAATAAAATTAGTAAACATTGTTATTGTGGTTAAAAGCAATAAAGCTTTTGTTATCATATTATTAAAATTGTCCAATAAAATTATTAGACAATTGGACATATAGGGGTAAGTCAATAGAAAAGAGACAAATTTTTTCCAAGTAAAAGTTTTCTTGACTTTAAGCTTAAATATCTTGGCAATTATCTTATCAAATTTAATAAAAACTTTTTTAACAAATTTGATTAAATAGTTAAGATATTTTAATTTAAAAATTAAGAAAATTTTATTAAAAACAATTTGTCCCTTTTCTATTGACTCCCCCCATATGTCCAATAATCTTACAATTTATTTGAACATTGTCCAATGCCAACCCTGCTTATATTAGCTCTATATTATATTATATAATTAAAAATAATTCTTAATACCCACACCCTAACCCTAAAAATAATTAGAGGCGGTAAGTTTACCGGTGGTTAAATGTTGCTATTTCCTTTATTTATATAAAAAAATTCTATAAAAATAAAGAGTGGTTAGATTTTATAATTTTTAACCAGGGGTTAAAATTAGTTAAATTCTAGAATAAAAGTACATATCGATATCTGGTATATATATAATTAAAATAGTTAATACTGTAATTGATAATCACGAGATATTCTTGGTGTAATTTATCATGACGCTTTTTTGGTTTCGTAATTGAAAATTTAACTAATTTTGACTTTACTCTTTGCCTTGTTTATTGTCGTAATACAATACAATCCCGTATATCTATTATACATGTCTGCGTCTTCCTCTATTTGTACATGTATTCATAACGACAATATCCAAATTTGCACAATAATTTATGTACGGGTTTACATTTACGTTAACAATGGAAATACGTACATACAAATTCTTACGTACTGTACGTACGTACGTACAGTACGTAATCGCAAGTATCATCGACAGAGTGCTCGTATGTACATTAGTTCACGTGAGAAAGACAATTTTTCATATGAAAGGATATTTATTGGCCAGACATGGGTCGTGACGGATAAATGATTTCAAACAACTGATGCATAAATATCGCATGTTCAGATGATAACAAATCGGACTTTTTTGTTCTCGTTTGGTCTACTATTTCACGAAGCGTTAGGCAAAATTTATAAACTAAAATAATGGTGAACGATACGGCCTTGGAAACCCTTTACAAAACCGTTGATCAGAATCAAGACGATTATGTTGAGAGGTTAAGAGAAGCTGTTGCCATTCCAAGGTAACATATGTGTATGAATTTGTGTATCATTGCAAATATTGCATACGTTCAAAAGCAAAAACTATGCTTTGTGAACTGCTCATTGTGCTAACCTTTTATTATTATTTATTCACAATTAAATGGATTGAACATTTTATAATTTTAGCATAAGCTCAATTGTCGATCGTCGAGAAGACGTTATCCGTATGTCTCATTGGCTTACTTCTTTGTTCGAGAAACTGGGAATTAAGTAAAAATAATTTTTTTTCTATATATGCTTAATTACATTACAATTTGAATTTCATTTAATAGACTAAAAGCTTATTTTAAACTTTAATTGGTGGTAGAATTTTCGTGTCCGATAATAATTTTAACCATTCAACATAACTTTTAAGTACCAGAAAATAGATCAACCCATGATTTAGTACCAGATGCTAAGTAATGCTATGATCAAGTGTCAATTCATTTATCTGGTACCAAAAGAACAGTTATGTTACATAGTTAAAATTCTTAATGTATATGAAAATTCTGTCGCTAATTAATTACAAAGTAATCTTTTGTCATATAACGTAATTTAAATGTCCGAACATTCATTGCATAACTATTCATGATATGAATTAATAGATATGAAGCTCGCGACATAGGCTGTCACGATATGGATGGTGTAAATTTGCAATTGCCACCCATTATTTTGGGTACTTATGGCAACGATCCTAATAAAAAAACCATTTTAGTCTACGGACATTATGATGTTCAGCCTGTGAGACTTTTAATCATCTATTGTCGTTCAATTTTTTTTCAATAAATATTATTGTGATTATTTGATGGTTGTAAACATTTTGTAAAGGCTTTACTTGAAGATGGCTGGGACTCTAAACCTTTTGATATGATCGAAACTCCCAAGGGTCAATTAGTTGGCAGAGGTGCTAGCGATGATAAAGGACCTATCATTGGGTGGCTTAATTGTATTGAAGCACATCAAAATGCCGATATAGAGTTTCCTGTTAACTTGAAGATCTGTTTCGAAGGTGATAAATATTTTATTAACGGTTTAGAGAAGGCTTTTATAATATTAAATTCTTTTATGTTTGTAGGGATGGAAGAAAATGGATCAGAAGGACTTGAAGAATTGATTTCCAAAGAGGCTGACAAATATTTTAAAGATGTGGATGCTGTATGCATCTCAGATAACTACTGGTTAGGTATGACTAAGCCTTGTTTGACGTACGGGTTACGCGTAAGTTACATCGTCTTTAAACCAAAATTGAATCATATTTTAATATAACCTTGTATTAAACTTGTTAACATATTTTTCTTAACAGGGCATTTGTGCATATAAAGTCGCTATATCCGGCCCAGGAAAAGATCTCCACTCGGGTGTATTTGGTGGTACTGTCCATGAACCTATGACTGATCTAATTCATTTGTTCAGTAAACTGGTTACTCCAAGCGGCAAAATTTTGATTACGGGAGTTAATGATGACGTTGCACTACTGACTGGTAAGCATTTTATAGTAATAATATATAATTTATTACCTAGTTACTCTAATTATTTAATAAATTTTGTAAAAAACATATAGATGCAGAGAATCAGATGTATAAATCATTAGAATTTTCATTGAGCGAATTGCACTCTGCTATTGAATCAAAGACAACCATTTTCGACAATGAAATAGAAACATTACAACACCGGTATGCTTATTTTATTATAACTATAAAAACATTCGTGATTCTTAGATTAATAATTTATAACTTATTTGTGAGTAAACCTATCTCAATTTTTCTTTTATAGATGGCGTTATCCATCACTTACGCTTCATGGTATTGAAGGTGCATTTTCTAGTCCTGGATTCAAAACAGTCTTACCTGCGAAAGTCACCGGAAAGTTCTCAATTAGACTTGTTCCAAATATGGATCCCAATCGCGTTAATGAACTGGTCGAAAAATATTTGAAAGATGAATTTGCGAAACTGGGTAGCAAAAACACTATTAGTGTGGAGTGTTTACATGGTGCCAAGCCATGGATTGCAAACCCTAATCATTGGAATTATGGTACGTTTTACTTAGGCTGTTTTTAAGCAACTCCTTCAACGTGACTTGAGATATTGCGAAATTATTTCGGTTAATTGAAATTCATTGATGTGATCCTTGCAACAAATTTATCGCGCGAATACTTGATTTTAATTTGACTTAAATTATTATCACAATTTACTTTATTAGCAAATTTGATCATCCTATAAACCATTGAGGGAGACACTTGAAAACAGCCCTAATCTATTTGTATTTCTATATAAGATACATGTTAATTGTTTTATACTTGTTAAACGAATAGTTGCTGCCTCTAATGCTGTTGAAAGAATTTTCAAATGCAAACCTGATTTGACACGTGAAGGTGGTTCTATTCCTGTTACTTTAACATTTCAAGATGCTTTGAATAAGAATGTTTTATTACTTCCAATGGGTCGTGGTGATGACGTACGCATATATTTATTAAAATTATTTCAGTTTGTATTTATTGTTAATTTTATTTGATATTTTATTGTTTAGGGCGCACATTCAATTAATGAAAAACTTGATCGTTCAAATTATGTTCAAGGAATTAAGTTATTTGGTGCATATTTACATGAAATTGCTTCTTGTAAAGATGAATAAATTATAAATTTATGTTTAGGAATTTGCAATAGATGTTAGGTTTTTTTTTTTTTTTTCATTCACATTTTATGTATAGTTTGAGTTTAGGGTATGTTCGATGTTGAGTTCACTAGTAGTTTACTGATCTATGCTCATCTGAAAAAAAAAAAAAAAAAAAAAAAAGATTGAAAAATGTTAAGTTCGAAAAGCTATTAAATAAATAGTCCCTGCATAAATTTTGAAATTATTGACTATTGTAGTAACACCCAATCGGAATGTAGTAAACAAACATTATACACTCAATATCGAATTTATTCATGAATTTATACGGAATTTAATTGTGTAATAAAGTGTGGGGATAACTAAAACTCTGTACAATAACTCGATTTAGTTAAGTTAATCAAAACATGTAATATGCAATATCACATGACCTGAATGACGACAAGATTGCCAATAAAAGTCGATTATCACATGTATTCATCGTCACCCTGATCATAAAAAACTTGATAGTTAACGTTAAAGGTTGTGGCTGCAATAAAAATTTCACACAATTTTGGGACTCAAATTTTTAACGTCATAGAAAACTCACATTTCGGGAGTTACGATAGAAAAAAAGAAATGACATACGTTGTTGAAAAGCCATTATATGAACTTAGTTTTGGCTGTGAAGATAGGCCAAATAAGGTACCGGTTAAACTCTTGAAAAAATAAACAAATATCAAAGTCTATCTAATCCAAACTTTGATTTTTTATTTTTTTATTATTTTTTTTTGCATGTAAAGAGTTTTAACACAAAGGCAGACCAAGTTAGAGATGAAAACAATAATTATCTGGAACATGAAAAAATAGTTCAATACGTCGAAGAACACAACAGAAAATTTTCGGAAAAAGTCATGGAAGTAAATGGCATCTTTGATATGGATCGTATCGGCAAATTCTCAAGATCTAATTATAGCAAATATTTTTCAACATATGGCGCTTTTTCAAACACCGGAAATTGTTTTAGTGTAATGTTGAAGCATATTTCAGAAATTTTACAGTTACCTCAGGTTCATCAACAATCGAAATTTGGGAGAAGAGCTTTATGGCAATTAGATCAATGCATCAAAAATATTATCATTGAAAGAAATACCATTTCCGGGTATGTTTTCGATAAAATTTATTTACGATTCCATCCTCATAATAACAAATGGATAGGTAATCATGTTGCCTTAGAGCCATTCGAGGATGAGTTTGGAAAATGTATTGCAATACCGTTTGATATGTTTTTCAAATCATATGTACATCCTGAATTTCGAATGCTCGAATGGAATACTAGTAAATGGAGTGCTAGTCGGAAAGTTATTATTCGTGATTGTGAAGAGGTTGAGCTTTCAAGAAAACGAAGACCTAGCTTTGATGCAAGCCAGCTTTTTGAATCATTAGATCCTTTAGTTTTTAATGATTTTGATGCTCACGCGTATTATGATTCTATTAAATATCTTTACTGGGCAAGAACTCAAGAACAGTTTGACAAAGAGCTTAAACTATTTAAAATAGCTAAAAGTCAAAAAGCTGGATGTTCAAATTACAGTTCAGCTGAACCTAGTTGGTGTATATCTAACCTGATGCAAGGTCTATCGGATAAATATGAAGTGGAAATTGATATCGAGCAATTAATTGGACGAAGTTTGGATTGCTACGATGATTTCTTAAAATCTTTGAATCAGGTCTTACCAATAGAAGATAACACCCCAATTTATTATAGGTGTGATTCTTTTAATAGTTGCTTTAACCATCTGGATTTAGTCCCGTTTGCTGGATGTCAATCAATAAGCGTCCTTTGCTTTGTTAGTTGGGGTGAAATACCATATATCAGATCAATACAGTGGTCAGCAACTGAGGTGGACAGGCATTTACGTTGATCAATCGAAAAGATATGTAAATATTATTTGTAACGAGCAATCAAAAGTTTAAATATGCTCAAGATCTATAATCAGATCTATGATCAAGTATGAGAACTTTTTTTTTTCTTTTTTTTCTGTTAAAGTGCAAAAAAACATTATGCTGCAATTAAGTGTTCTATGTTTGCCATTGAAAATATTTGCGCATGCTATTGAAGATTGTTCTGTAAACCCGTGTTGGAAACTAAAAGATTTAGCGTTTCATCCCCCCCAAAAAAAGAAAATCAACAGAAACTTAGTGCATTAAACAATTTTGAAGCTTTTAAATAAACATATATCGTTCTTATTGGAAAGGTATTCAAAATCTACACACCAAGAAAATATGATCTTTAAATATATCTAAAATTTTGTAGATATTCAAGATCGAATTATTCTAAGATTTACAATTTGTTTTTTATATAGCTATTAGCAATTTATTAGTAAAATTTAAAAATTTTAAACTATTAGTTCTTCAGTATGTTGGCACTAACATATCCAAATTATCTACTTAAAACTTCTTACTTTACGGGTGAAAACCAGGATGAAATTTTCCGGTAACACGACAATTTGATCCTCATCGGAATTATATAACGATAAGGATGTGCAAAGTTAACTAGTTCTTATAACGTATGTACTCGGCAGAGCAGGATTCAAGTGTTAATTATAGGAACGAAAAATGTTACTACTAATTTGTGATATTCAGACTGTTATACTTTATATATCAAGAAATTCAATCATGTTAGAGGCTTCGCACCGTCACGTAAGCCTCACATCCTTTCAAATTAAAACCGCAGCGTTGGCTTTTAATATCATAAAGCCTACTCGGGGATTTCAGGTTATTAACTATAAATACATATCGATATTTATTTTTTTAAAAAAAGCTGGCAATTTATCATTATCGTTATCTAATTTTGTTTACGTTGTTAATTTGCGAATTTTGCGCATCCGATGTTTACTGGCATCCGGTTTAGGGTTAACGAAAAAATAGGTTTAATACCAAAATTTGCGAAATTAAAAAATCATTTAACTTATAAAAATTGATCCTTAGTTTCGGGCCGAATTGTGTGATTTTGAGCCAAAATTAATGCCGGTTCGATTAGTAAAAAAAAAAAGCAATAATTTATTCATTACACGTGTGATTAGTTCAATTAATTATGTGCACATGCAAATTCTTAATCGTTAAATTGATCAATTAATTATTGTCGCAGATCATAATGAAATCGGATTAAAATGAAACTCGGGACCTTTCTTGCTCATCTTTAAAGCTTATAAAACCCACTTATACTCTTTTATTAATAAAACTAACTCTAAACCCTAACCCTAACCCTAACACTAACCCTAAAAAATGTCCCCCAAAAATTTTTAAATTTTCCTAAAAAATAGAAAAATTTCATTTTAATCTGCCACAATTGTCAATAGATGTGAGGACAAACATGAGGAATGATTCGTGAGGAAAGTCACGTGCACAGGTAATCGATAAAGCGGAGACAATGATTTTCTGCGCCGTGGATTCTGCAAAAATTCTACGATTGGCCAGAATTACGTAAAGTCGACCAGCATTATAATCCGCAAATTCTGGCCAAATTAATGTTAGCCAGCATTAGATCTTAAATCCAGGCCAAGATTTTAAAATGATCAATTCCGTAATTTTTCTGCAAAATTCCGTGAACGCAGAAAATCGTCCGAGATGATCAGTGAGGCAAAGTGGCAATTATATGACTATAGATAGCTTTAGAAACGTTTATAATATCACAATTTTAGTCATAATCCTAATCAAAGGTGATTTTCTGTTTTAAAGATTTTTTGTTTGGGGTTTTTTTTAAAATATAGCTATAAATACTATTTTTTCTTCGGGACGGTGGGAAAAATGAAATATTTCCCCGGCACTGTTGAATAAATAAGTTATTCCCAGTCTCATTATGATCGCATGACGGGAATTTACATTTTATTAATCACATTTATTGTAAATTTTTTTATTTTTTATTTTTTTATTTGTTATTTCCCCTGGGATGATAACAAATAAGAAAAAAAAAGAAGATAAAAATTGTGATTAATAACACGTAAATCCCCGTCATGCGATCATGCTGAGACTTCGGTCACACCAGCATGACTGGGAGCCAGGGATCTGTAAAATTTTTTCGATAATTTCTTTTGATTTGACCAACATTTTCGATTTCTTTCAAAACTATAATAGTGATTGGACCCGTCCAAAAAAACGCCATCCGGGTCACCCGGGTGGGTTAAAAAAAACAAGTTTACCTATGGTGTTCAACACCATAGCAGTGTGTGAAATTCAATGTTCTCAATGTTCTCTGAGAACATAAAAATTTTAGGTTACACTTATGTGAGAACAAAAAATTTCAAAATCTATTATATAGATGTTCTTGTGAGAACATAAAATTATATTTGAATTTCACACACTGCACCATAGGTTCCTATTTCTCAAAAATGTACTAAGTAAACGGGATCGGGTACTCTAAGTAAAAATGTTCAGGACCCCAAAAACCTCATGAGTACTAAAATTGAGACCTTAATCTAATATATATATTATAATATACATCCTAACTCTAAATTTTATTTAAAACAATTATATATGGTGCTAAACACCATAGGTGCATTTTAGAAAAAAAAATCTATCTGGGTATATTAATATATAGTTCATTTATATGATTGTCGATTGCCGTGATAATTAACCTTTAAAACGTTTATTACTAGAAAACGGAGAAAACTTCGCTTAAAAAGCTTACAAACCAATAATTACATACAAAGAATTTATCACATAAAGTTAGAAAACAGATAGATACGCGTAAAGTGGGATAAATGTAATATTTATTACGTATTTAAAACCTGATCCATTAACTGTTAAAGAGTTAATACCATATTGTCGCGAAATAACGGGCATGGGCGTTATTTAGAGGTTTAGCCCGAATTAAGCTTAATTTAGGCCGAAATTTGTAACTTCACCCCTGCGCGTTATTTCGCGACGTGAATAAATTATTAGCGAAACTTTACTATCTTTTGAAAAATTAAAGTATTTCAATCTTATTTATTATCATGACCTTTATTAGAGATACAACACGACCTTAAGCCCACGTAATTAATAAACAATAATACTCATATACATATTATCAACCTACTGCTTGACCCAAAGTTACTAATGCTTTTAACTCTATAATATTCAGAATAAGTGCATTAGTATAAGCTTTTTGTTATCATAGCACGTTAAACGGTATAAACAAAGTTCTTTGGTTTTGATCTTACACGTGATGTCTCAGAACTTCTTTTTTTTTTGTTGACCGTTTCCAGCATTTAGAGCTTACATATAGTTAATATAACTATTACTACAGTAAAAGTAAAAATATTTGCCTCTAAGTGTATTTTTGCATAATGAATATAGACGATCTTTTAAGTTAGAAAGAGCTTTAAACTGTTATCTGAGCAATTGATTTACATCAGCAAATCAGACAAATGTCTGTTTATAAGGCAACCTGCGGGCAGGAACATGTAAATATTATTTCGATTTAATTCAAAAATTTTGTTTTATTTTAATTTTGGCTAGAATTAAGCTTCAAGTCAGTGACTACGGCTAAAATTAGAAAGTTCATGTGTTTATTTCGAATTCCAAGCTTACTGTGAATGTTAATCACATGATAATATTTGTCTTGAGCCAATAATAACATTCTCGTGATTTATTGTAAAAAATTGTAAAAATTTTCAATTTTGGCAAAAATTTTTTAGTTTCTTTTGATAGATAACCCACCTGGGTTGCTACAATATTACATGGGTTACCTGCAGGTGGATGAATAGCCCAGATAGCCACCTACCTATGTTCAATTATTACTCTAATTATATAAGCTAAATGCTATATAAAATAGTGCTTAGCACAATTAAACAATATCAAAAATTTGCAGTTTAACCAATACTATATATAGGGGTGAGTTAGTAAAAAAGTAACAAATTTTTTCTAAGTAAAAGTTTTCTTGACTTTAAGCTTAAATATTTTAACAATTATCTTATTAAATTTAATAAAAAATTTTTTTATTTTAATTCTATATAATTGTAAAATTAAATTTAAAAATTTTTTAGCAAATTTAATTAAATAGCTATTAAGATATTTTAATTTAAAAATTAAAAAAATTTTACTAAAAAGAATTTATCTTTTTTCTATTGACTCACCCCTATATACTTATATAATTTGATATTTGATTTAATTACAGTAGTGTTCTGATCTATCTCAAAAATCTCTACTCAGGTTATCTGTGGGTGATCTACTTGGGTGATTTAGATAAGTTTAGATAATAGAAAAAATTCTGCCATAGGTGGGTTACTAAAAATCTTATATAAATTAATTAATTCAAGATTTTTAAAAATCTTGATTTGGCAAAATTCAAAGCTTGTTGCAATGCAACTAATTATAAGTACTTTACTTGAATTTAGCTTTAAATAATTATTTTCAGCATACAAAATATTTTAAAACTTTAATTTAAAATAGAGGTTCAATTTGAATAGCATTTATCCAAATAATTATCAGCTATCTGAATAAAGTTTAGATTGAATACTCAGATAACAGATTGCGAATATTTGTTTACTATTGATATTTGAATAATTATCCAAATATTAGTCAGATTATCCGGATATCAGATCTGTTTATCTGATCTGAATTATCTAGATAATTTAGATACAGATAAACAAATAACAGATTTATCTAGATTGGATTTCTAATTTTAAAAAATATAAATTACTTTGGTTAGATATTATAAAAATTTAAAAAGTTATAAACCAACTTGTATGGGTTTCCAGAAATTATATAATATTTTGTTATTAATAAATTTCAAAATTTTATTTCCACCTACTCACACCTGACACTTTATTAGCCAATCAATTTGTATAAAAATTTTAAATAGTATTAATTGTGACAGATTAAAATAAAATCAGATTAAAATGAAATTTTTTTATTTTTTTAGAAAAATTTAAAATTTTTT